CCCCCCCAAGAAGGTAAATAATCTGATATAGGCTCTACATGTACAATCATATTAAACATATTTCCACATTAGTTATGTTGTGAAATAAGAATCAGAACAAAAGGGAAAAACCATGAGAAAGAAAAAAACAAAACAAAATTAAAAAAAAGCAAATAGTATGCTTTGATCTGCATTCAGACTCCATAGTTCTTTCTCTGGATGTGGATAGCATTTTTCATCATGAATATTTTGTAATTGTCTTAGATCATTGCATGGCTGAGAAAGGCTAAGTCTATCAAAGTAGGTCCTTGCCCAATGTTGCTGTTACTGTGTATAATGTTCTCCTGGTTCTGCTCACTTCACTCAGCATCAGTTCATGTAAGTCTTTCTAGGTTTTTCTGAAATCTGCCTGCTCATCATTTCTTATGGAATAAGAGTTTTCCATTACATTCATATACCACAATTTGTACAGCCATTCCCCAATTGATCGGCATCCCCTCAATTTCCAGTTCTTTGCCACCATGAAAAGAGCTGCTATAAATATTTTGTACATGTGGGTCCTCTTTCCTTTTTTATGATCTCTTTGGGATACAGACCTAGTAGTGGTATTGCTGGATCAAAGAGTATGCAGTTTTACAGCCCTTTGGGCATAGTTCCAAATTGCTCTCCAGAACGGTTGGATCAGTTCACAACTCCACCAACAATGCAGCAGTGTTCCAATTTTCCCACATCTTCTCCTACATTTATCATTTTCCTGTTTTGTCATGTTAGCCAATCCGATAGATGTGATGTGGTACTTCAGAGTTGTTTTAATTTGCATTTCTCTAATCAATAGTGATTTAGAGCATTTTTTCTTTTGACTATAGATAGCTTTAATTTCTTCATCTGAAAATTACCTGTTCGTATCCTTTGACCATTTATCAGTTGGGGAATGAATTGTATTCTTATAAATTTGACTCAGTTCTCTATATATTTTAGAAATGAGGCCTTTAGCAGAGACACTGGCTGTCAAAATTGTTTCCCAGCTTTCTTCTTCCCTTCTAATCTTGGTTACGTTGGCTTTGCTTGTGCAAAAACTTTTTAATTTAATGTAATCAAGATTATCCATTTCAAAATGTTCTCTTTCTCCTGTTTGGTCATAAATTCCTCCCTCCACCATAGATCTGACAGGTAAACTATTCCTTGCTCTCCTAATTTTCTTATAGTACCACCCTTTATATCTAAATCATGTACCCATTTTGACTTTATCTTGGTATATGATGTAAGGTGTTGGTCTATGCCTAGTTTCTGCCATATTATTTTCCAGTTTCCCCAGCAGTTCTTGTTAAATAATGAATTCTTATCCCAGAAGCTGGAGTCTTTGGGTTTGTCAAACAGTAGATTACTATAGTCATTGACTACTGTGTCTTGTGTACCTAACCTATCCCACTGATCCACCACTCTATTTCTTAGCCAGTACCTAGTAGTTTTGATGATTACAGCTTTATAATACAGTTTAAGATCAGGTACAGCTAGACCACCTTCCCTTGCATTTTTCATTAGTTCTCTTGATATTCTAGACCTATTGTTCTTCCAGACAAATTTTGTTATTGTTTTTTTCTAACTCTTTAAAATAATTTTTGGTAGTTTGATTGGTATGGCACTGAATGAGTAAATTAATTTAGGTAGAATTGTTATTTTTATTATATTAGCTCCACCTACTCATGAGCAACTGGTGTTTTTCCAATTATTTCAATCTGACTTCATTTGTGTGAAAAGTGTTTTGTAATTGTGTTCATATGGTTCCTGGGTTTGTCTCGGCTGGTAGACTCCCAAATATTTTATATTGTATACATTTTTTTTGACCTGGCAGTCCTAATACCAAGGTATAGATGCCTAAGGAAGTCAAAAGACAGTACAATAGGTCTTATATATACTAGGGTGGGTGCCCACTGATTGGGTTATGACTGAAAAGAAAAGACTGTATTATACATGAGCAGTGGGATATTATTGTGCAGTGAGGAGTGAGGGAGGAGGAGCCTGAGGTAGGGGATAGAGGACAGAGTCAGGAGGACCCAAGTCTGTAGTCTGCCTGTGCCGTAAGCTCTCAGGACCTCTGGGGAGCTCTGGAAGATGACTGTGTTTGACACTATGGAGCTCCTTCTCCTCCTCAGTACCTTCTGCTCATCCTTAACCCTCATTCACCCTACAGAGCCAACCTGGTGCCAAATCTTGTTTCTACCTTCATGATAACTCTCATACACATCCTCTTCCCTCCATTCCTGCAACACAGACCTGGATTATCGTAGAAGCAATTATGAAACCTTGCCTACCTGCATTCATCAGTGACGGCAATCTCAGCCACTTCTGGTTACTCTTCCTGCCCCTAGTCCCCCCTGACTCCAGTGTATCCTCCTGCCCCAAAGTTGGTCTCCTAAAAGACAGATCTAACCACATCATTCCCCTGCTCAAGAAATCCTAATGCCTCCCTGTTACCTCCAGGATCAAATATAAAGGCCTTTGGAAGTTAGAGTTCTTTCCAACCTGGTCCCTTCCTACCTTTCCAGTCTTCTTAGACTGTCTGTTCACATATTCTGTGATTCAGCTGCACTGGCCTAAATGCCACTGCTCACCCTCAACCCTCCCCCCCATGTCCTGTATCTGTATCTGGTGCTGGCTGTCTCCCAGAAACCTCCCCTGCCTTCCTTCTCTCGGTGGTTACTTTCTATCTGTTCTGTATTTATTTGTTCTGAACAGTTAGTTACAAATTATCTCCCCCCCCTAGAAGGTGAACTCCTCAAGGGCAGGGTCTGGTTTTCTCTTCCTTTGTATCCCTAGTTCTTAGCACAGTGACTGACACATAGTAGCTCCTTAAGAAATGCCTGCTGACTGACTCATAGATGATAGAATAGGAGCATTTGGACAGGGGGTTTCCTCAAGGTGAGTTCCTGGTCCAATGAACTCACAGTCCCAGTTAAAAAAAGAAAAAGAAAAAGAAAAATTTGAAGAATTTGGAGAAACATAGGAAGATACACATGAACTGATGCTGAGAAAAAAATAGAATCAAGAAAACAGTTCACCCAATAATTACAATGTAAAGAAAATAATTCTAAAGGAAATAAAACTTTGAGTATAGAAAAAAAAACCCAATGAAAGCCTTGGAAAGTAAAGAATGCAATATTCTTTCTCACCCTTAGCAGAAAGGTGGGGGGTGGCTAGGGCAGAATACTGTCCCCTCAGGAATATTTTCCTTTGATTCCACCCGCAGATGGGGAAGGAAATTGGAAATGATTGTAATATACAATAAAATCTATCATAAATATATCCTAAAACTTTTCTTTAAAGGAAAAGTCTTCCTCCTAGTGAGGCAGGGAGGCACAGTGGTAACACACAGTTAGTGTCTACCTATTATGTGCTAAGCGTTTTACAAATTGTCTCACTTGGACTGGAGGGGCTCTCTGAAGAGCTGGGGTCTTGAGCTTTGAGGCTTGGGGGTTTGAAGGAGGCTGGATGGTATAGTGGGGAGGCCAAAGGAGAGCCCTATGCCCCTCCATCCCCACAATGGGGGCAGAGTGTTGAACTGAATTGACTGGCTGTGGATTTGGAATTCACGTCCAGATTCTGAATCTGCTGCTTCCTCTGTGAGACCTTGGACAAGTCCCTTCTAGCTCTCAACCTGACCATCGAGGACTTTTATTTCCCAGCTTTCTGGCTGGGTTCCAGATAGCTGAGATTGTTAGATAAGTGGCCTCAAGAAAACTGAGGTGGTTCAAACAAATTAACAAAGAGATACAGGTCAGTTTTTCATTCTTGTTTAATGATGGTCATCTCAAAAATGCCATAATCCTCTAGGCCTGGGGCACTTAAATGGGGGCCTGGGAACTTTCTTATGTTGTTCTAAATATTTTGATAACTATATTTTGATGTAATTGGTTTCCTTTGTAATCCTATGTATTTCATTCAATTAAAAACTATTCTGTGAAGGGGTTCATACCGTAATAAATTTTCTCCCTGTTTGGGGACTGAATATCAGGGGGAAGTGACTAATTTTGAGAGTCAGCCTGGTATATTGCATGGGTACTGGCCTTGGTGTCAGGAAGACTTGGGCTCAAAACATTTGCTAGCAGTGTGACTATGGACAAATCACTTAACCTCTCTGTGCCTCAGTTTCCCCATCTGTAAAATAAGGAAATTGGACTTAGTGGCTTCTAAGGTCTTTTCCAGCTCTGAATGTAGCATTCTGTGGTCTTGGTCCCTTCTTTGGTTTTAGACAATTACAATGTGCTGAAGTATCACTTTCATAAGTTTATCTTCCTAGGACTTCCACATGTTGAACCTTCTTCCCCTTCCTTCCTTCCTTCCTTCTTTCCTTCCTTCCTTCCTTCCTTCTTTCCTTCCTTCCTTCCTCTTTATTTCTTTCCTTCCTTCTTTCTTCCCTTTCTTTTTTCTTCCTCCCTCTTTATTTCTTTCCTTCTTTCTTCCTTCTTTCTTTCTCTTCCTTCCTTCCTTCCTTCTTTTCTTCCTTCCTTCCTTCCTTCTTTCCTTTCTTTCCTTCCTTTTCTTTCTTTCTTTCTTTCTTTCTTTCTTTCTTTCTTCTTTCTTTTCTTCTCTTCTCCTTTCTTTCTTCTTTCCTTCTTCTTTCTTCTTTCTTTCTTTCTTTTCTTTTCTTTCTTTCTTTCTTTCTTTCTTTCTTCTTCTTTCTTTCTTCTTTCTTTCTTTCTTTCTTCTTTCTTTCTTTCTTTCTTTCTTCTTCCTCCTTCCTTCCTTCCTCTTTCTTTCTTTCTTTCTTCTTCTTTCTTCTTTCTTTCTTTCTTTCTTTCTTCTTTCTTTCTTTCTTTCTTTCTTTCTTTCTTTCTTTCTTTCTTTCTTTCTTTCTTTCTTTCTTTCTTTCTCTGAAGGATGTAAGATATGGTAGGCTCTTAGCACCATGGAAGGCCTTTCTTTGGGAACTCCAAGTCTTCCTAAGTGGGGCCCATGGCTGAATACTGTGCTTCTCTCTATGTCTGACCCCATGTCTCTTGGTGTGTTCTGTCTTCCCACAGAGAGGCTGAGGGAGAGGCTGGGATTCCAAAGGCTGCTAGGATGTTTTCCTTGGTCATCATGGAGCAGGAGGAAGGGCTGGGCCAACACCACTACCACCAGCCCAGCTGAGGGTACGTGTATCCCATTCTGTGATGGGGCGAATCTCCAGGCCTGGTGGGGACAGTGCCTTCCCTTCTCTTCTGTGCCTTCCCCAGGGAAGCCACTCATCTGGACCCAGGCCCCCAGGCTTCTGCCTAACTCCTGATTCCCTCCCCTTTCCCACCAATGGTCCCTCTACTCTGACCTCTCCAGAGACCTCAGTTCCCTTTTCTGGACATTTCCCTGTCTCTTTTAGAATGTGAATGGATGAATGAACGAGAAACATTCATCAGGTCCCTCCTATGTGCCAGGCACTGCGCTAGGCACTGGGGAGGATAGGGAGGCGGGGGATACAAACACAAAGACAGACATGCTCTTCCCTTAAGGAGAAGACATCTGAAAAGGGGGAGAGAGCACATCCAGGGAAGTGGTGTCGTTGGGAGGGAGGCCTGGTCTGAGGAGTCCCGGGATGCTGAAGGAAGCCTTTGAGGAGGAAATTAGCATTTATTAGGTGCCTACTGTGTGCCAGGCACTGTGCTAAGTGCTTGATAAATATGATCTCATTGGGACAGTTAATTGACATGCCCTTTCTGGGAGTAAGCTTTGGTTTGGTATATCTTTGATTATTAATCCCAGATGAAGTTCATTCCTTCATTTATTTTCTCATTCATTCTTCTAGAACTGCCCTTTGGGCAGCTTTCTCTGGAAACTGGGTCCCAAGAGTATCCCAATGAGCATAGATTAGATGCTGGTTAACACCTCCTCACTTTCTTTTCCTCTATCTCTCATCTCTCCTGTTTCTTGTCTCCTTCAAAACTAGTCCTGGGGGCAGCTAGATGGTGCAGTGGATAGAGCCCCAGCCCTGGAGTCAGGAGGACCTGAGTTCAAAGCCGGCCTCAGACACATGATACTCGCTGTCCGGGTGACCCTGGGCAAGTCACTTAACCCCAATTGCCTTGCAAAACACAAAAACCAAAACCCTAGTCCTGGAAAGTCAGAACCAAGAGTAAGTACAAGAAGCCAAGTTGGGCTTGACGTCAGGAAGAAGCTTCCTGATGATCGAAGCTGTCCAAAAGAGGCCCAGGGTGCCTGGACAGGTGGTGAGCTCATTGTCACTCCGAGTCTTCCAGCAGAGGTTAAATGTCAATGGTTGAGGATGTCCTAGAGAGAGAGGATTCTTACTAAAATAAGTTGGACTGGAAGGTCTCCTGCCTGCTCTCATTCTATCACTTCAGCTTCTTGGGCCTCAGTTTCCTCTTCTATAAAATGATGGGTTTAGACTAGATGGCCCTTCTAACTCTGCGCTCCTATGATTCACTCACTCGCTTATTCATTCATTCATCCATTCATCAGTGGCTGCTAGAACTTACCAGGATCAAGGTCCAATGCCAAGTGCCATGGTAGGGGGTGGGGGTGGGGATACAAAGATGAATAAGATGTGGTGCAGAAAAGATCACTGGCTTGGAAGTCTGAGAAGTGGGTTTGAATTCAGGCTCTGACACTGAATGATCCTGGACAAATCAGGTTCCCTCCCTTGCCCTCAATTTCCCCTTCTATAAAATGAAACAATTAGACTATGTGAACTTTGAGTACCCTTGTGGTTCTTGTAGAGTGAAAAGAATGCTGGATTTGGAGTCAGAGGACCTGGGTTTAAATCCTGACTCTGTCATTTACTATCTGTATGACCTTGGACAAGTCCTTTCCCTTCCCTGGCCTCAGTTTACTCATCTCTAAAATGAGAGATGGGACTAGATCCTTTCCAGCTTTGACGTTCGGTGATTCTACCACCTTTCCCTTCTCAAGTATCTTTAGATCTTTTAGTAGTCCAGAGCAAAAGAAGCCCAGACCGCCCAGGAAAGGCTCATATCATAGAAAAGGGAAAATTTTGATATTTTCATCTTGGGAGTCCCTTGACCACGAAGAAAAGGCTCTCTCTTCTCTCTCTCTCTCTCTCACACACACACACACACACACACACACACACACACACACACACACACAAACATTTCCTTTCCTCTCTTCTTTCCTTCTTCCTTCCTCCTTTTCTTTCCCTTCCTTCCTTCCCTTCTTCCTTCTTTCCCTTTCTTCCTTCTTTCCTTTCTTTTCTTTCTTTCTTTCTTCTTTTCTTCCTTCCTAGTTGCCATTGATATAGAGTTTTAAGATGATGATTAGAGCTGACTTTATATAGCGCCAGGAGATAATAATAATAACATCTGATACATATAATGCTCCATAACTGACATTTGAATAGAAGCCTTTAAGACAGTCCTAATAATCCCTGACATTTCTGCACTTGGTGATTGTAGCCCTTGAAGGCCATTGTAACAGCTGCTATTACCTGCTGATATAAGGTTCACAAAGTGAGCAGCCCATTTGGAAGACCCAGCTCATATCAGTGGCCACACTGCCTCCCTCTCACTGGCAGGGCATCTGGGAGGGCTTCCTTGTGTCTGGCATGGGGGGGGGAGGGAAGATGCATTCTAAAGTATCAAAGGATTACCTCCATGCCTTAGTGTCTCGTGCGATCTAGATGCCCTTACTCACTTTTCTCTTAGGTGCCCAAGAAGAAAGTACAGATGAATCTTGAAGGATTCTTGTGTCTATAAGATCAGGGCATCCAGCTTGGGCAGACCTCTTGGGCTGGCCCAGATGACCAAAGACATTCAGACCTGCCAACACTCAGGGTTGCCAATCTGTTGATTAACATCCCCCCCACCCCCAGCCAACGACATGCCCAAGGCTCAGATGAGCCACTCTCAGACACAACTGGGCTGTCACGTACTTCCCGGCTTACTCACTGGGTCACTTGGCCTTGTCCCCTGTTTGATTCTTCTTCCCTTTCCTTTCTCCTGGCTACCCCCTCCCCTTCTCTCTGCTGCAGATGGTTTCCAGGACCCCTCAGAGGAGCTGGCACTGACAGTTCTGTCTCCCAATGGACACTGTGAGGACATCGAGGGAAGGACAGGGGCCTAGATGCCCCAGGCCACCACCCAGATCCTGGAGTGACAGGCTGTGAGCACCAATGGGACTTAGGACCTTTGGGTTCTGTTCCTGCCCCTGCCTCATCTTGAAGGCTGGAGCTGGGCCGTTCCCTATTCTATGCTCCAATCTGTCTCCATCCCAAGTGGAAAGTGATGGTACCTGCCACCTCTATACCTTTCACTAGTGTGGTGAGACAGGGTTGGTGATCAGAGAAGAAGTGTGCCTCACTGACCTGAGCAGCGGATGGCAAAATTGGGCTTTCTGGGATCTGCTCCTAGCCCAGAGCTATCTTACTCTGTGTTCAAGGCTGTTACTTCATTACTCTATGCCTCAGTTTATCAGTCTGTAAATTGAAAGGAAGATACACCCACCTTGTAGTGGTGTTATATGAAGTCCCTACCTTGGGAAGGGTGACATAGGACTTTGTAGATCTACAGTGTTATAGAAATCTCCATGTTGGTCAATGTGCGTGATGGGCTTTGCGTGTGTGCTCAGTCATACACATTCCTCATTTCCACTATCATGTAGTGGAAAGAACATTAACCTAGAATTTAGGATACCTAGGCTCTGACACTAGCTCACTAACTGAAAAACTAGGGGCCTCCACTGCCTTATCTGTAGAATGAAGGGAATGGACCATGTGACCTTAAAAGGTCTTTTCCAGCTATGACATTCCTAGATTGCGTCCTCGAGAATAAATAGATACACCTCGAGGATAAATAAATACACTGTAAAAAAAGTCTCTTAAAAGCACTGGAAGTTCAAGCCAAGTCTATACATAATTTGACTTTTTAGTGTTTCACTGATGCCCTTTGCTTTTATACCATAACATTTTCTTTAGCCCCCTAGGTTACCACCAAGAAAAAATATTGAAGTAGAATTGATCAGCACCGGGAGCTGTCCTGATGGCAGAGCCCTCCCACTCTGAGATAGTCACTTCTGCCTCTCCACTGAGAGGAGGGAGGCACAATTCATTATCTTGGTCTGGGATTAAGATGGTTTATTTGAACTCTTCGGGCTCTGATGGCCTTTTAGTGTCAACAAGTCTTTACATTATTGCACTCGCTGTAATACCACTCATTTTTTCCCTAATAGATAAAGCACACACTTCTGAAAGTTCTTTAGAGAGTCATGGTAAGAACCTTGCACTGTACATCATAGCTGGTTCTAGGGTCTACTTTGCCACAAATGTTTGTCACCTCATTTTTCTGAACTTCAGTTTCTTTCTCTGTAAGATGAGAGTCTGAATTCAATCTCTGAGGCCCCATCCAGCTCTAAAATTCAGTGGTTCTTTTGTTTTTATATCCTATTTATTTCAGAATCTATCCCACCTCTGTCCCCTACCCAGAAGCTTTCCCTTGTGATGAAGCTCTGGCTCCCTTTCCCAGAGCCAGGCAGCTGACCTCTCCCCTTCAGAGTTCTAAGGTTCTTGAGGGGTTGGGGTATTTCTTCTCTACTTCCATGAGCCCCCCACCAGCCATGTTTCCCCCTATTGTTAGGGACCTAAGACTAATGCCCTAGTTCCATCAAACCACTTAAAATCTCTTGGCTTTTACAAAGGGGTATTTACTTCAAAGATATAGCAAGGACAAATGTACAAACATTTTCCCCAATGCCCCTGGGGTATCCTCTCCCTCATTAGATTAGTTCCTACATAACAGTGACCCCATCAAGTTTACATTCAATGGTATCATCCAGTGGTTGACTGATCCTTGCCCCAGCTACTTCTGGGCTCAGAGCCCCAAAGTTATTTCTGAAGACAATCAATTCTTCCTTATTCCTCAAGCATCAGTGCTATGTTGGTTATAAAATCCAACCTAGATTCCAGCTCCCAGATTCCTGTAACTCAGTCTCCCGACCTTCTGAAACTCCCATGGTTGGAGTCTCTACTATCTACATCCAGATTTGAAAAGTGCACATGAAAAGGCCAAGGATGGAGGTTTCTTTCTTGGGTCACATGGCTTTGGAGAAGCCCCCAAATCTTTCCCATGATGGCATGATCTCTATGAGCAAAGAAGCCTCTGAATAAAGCAAAGTGTGATGAAGAGGGAGTGGCCAATGGCAACAGGTGAAGATCCCCCCTTTCTGCATTTAGTTTGCCACTGGAACCAGTTATAGAATGTCTATATGTGCTCTCCCCTCTTCCAAGAAGCTTCCCATTCATATCATTACAATTCTCCAGGAAGCAAGTTCCCCAAATGTCCTTCCATGTAGAGAGGTTGTATCAGTCAAAGAAGTTGATAGGGTCTGTACATGTGTCAGACCCCCATTACAACAAAACAGAAAAGAGAGATGAAGCAGATTCATTGAAACGAGCCCATCAAATCAAGTCTGACCATGTATGCAATGTTTGGCACCCATAGTCCCCCACCTTGCCAAGAAGAGAGGGTCGTCCCTCTTCTCATCTCTTCTCCATGGCCAATCGTGATCATGACCAGCTCTGCCTAGATTACTTCATAGAAGAGGCTGACGGCTAGACTTCTCAGTGCCCCAGCCCCCAGATTCTTCTCTTGGAGCAGTTATGAATAGAGAACAGAATTCAGCTGGGAGCAGGCTGAGAGCCCAGGAAGGGAATGATTCTGCAGCCTTGTGAGAAGGGAGACTTCCATTCTGTGGCCCCTCATCTGGCAATGTTGGCCCTGGGAGCTGGGTTCCCCATCAAGCAGATTGAATGAAGAGGAAATTAGTGGTCGGGGGTGGGAGGTAACTAGAAATAGGAATCATTGCAGATCTTAGCTTCCAGTGGGGGTCAGAGCTAGCCCTGAGGCCATTCAGTCATTGTTCTGAGTGACAGCCTTCCCCTTAGTGTCCAGGAATCAGAGCCTTTTCTGAAGAGCCAAGTGAGCCAGTTATTCATTTCCCTAGGGAAATTAGGAGCTCCTTTCCGCGCTGCCCCCCAGTCTATGAGGAAGAGGGCTGGGCTAGAATCCAAAGTCAGCTCTTGGTTCCTTTCTGAGGATGCCCAGTCTGATGGAAGGGTGGGCCACTTCTGCCAAGACATTTCAATGCTCTGTGTTTCCCATTTAGCAAATGAAGTGATGCCAGCTTCCACCTCGGAAAGCTGTCTCCAGGGGACGAGTGTGTGCCAGGAGTGGCTGAGAGACCAGGCAATTTCACCAGACAGTGAAACTACCCCTGGCGTTTGGCGGGCTGGTTGTTGTTTGTTTGCATCACATTTTTATGGCTGATCTCTTTTGTTTTTATATCACCTTCATCTCCCGTGAGAAGCAAGGTAGCATAGCAGATGGAGCTGGCTTCACAACCAGGGAGACCTGGGTTCAAGACCTGCCTTTGACCCATACAGGCTCTGTGACCCTGGGCAAGTCACTTGATGCTTCAGGTGACACTTTCTTTTTCTTTTTTCTTTTTTCTCTTGCCTTTTGGTGAGGCAATCAGGGGTCGCACAGCTAGTAAGTGTCATGTGTCTGAGGCCGGATTTGAACTCAGGTCCTCCTGATTCCAAGGTTGGAGCTTATCCACTGCACCACCTAGCTGCCCCCTCAGGCAACACTTTCAGATAAGATGCAGAGTGGGAGAGGCCTGACCCCCTCTACCAACTTGGGTGGAGGCACTTTCCTTGTCTGGGAGCTCCCTATACCAATGAAATCATATATATCTAGACCCTGTCCCTATCATTTCCCAGTATATTCTTCCTGCCTCCTGGAGAGCCATTCCTTATCAAAGAGGGAAAAAAAGACCAAAAAAGAATTTCAGGAAAACTAACCAATACATTAACCACGTCTGACATTTCACAGGGTATTATATACCCATAGTCTCCCACCTCTGTAAGTAAGGGAGAGAGGAGCATCCTCAGGGCTCTTCTTTGGGGCCAAGTTTTCAAGATCTTAGTTTTAAATGGGGATGATGATGTTTCTGAGATTGCCCAGGAGGTGTAGGGGGTAGATATTTCTAGGGAGCTCTTTCCTTCCCTTTCTCTTCATTTGTCTCTTGAGTAGTGGAGACTTGTCTGCAAGATGGCTCCAGTCTCTTTTTCTGGTTTAAAATTGTCTTTTTAAATCAGTCTTTCTAATAGGCTTCTTTCCTCCCCTCCCCCCCCCCCCCCCCGCACCCATGAACCTTCCCTTCTAACAAAGCAGGGCAGGGGGAAGTTAAATAAAACTAACATATTGATCATGTTTGACAATGTATGCAGTATTCCCATAGTCCCCCACTTTGTCTTTCCAATGCTTTCCAATATTTTCTGTGAAAAGAAGACATTCTTAATTTATGTCTTAAGTGACTGCCCATTGGGTGCCTGCTATGAGCAGAAAACTGGGCTAGCAATGGAGATCCAAACCTCCCAGATTCCTGCTGATTTGAGGCTCAGCAGTGAACACTAGCCTGGGGTCTAGGTTCTGCCCTTCCTGAGCCTGTGCTTTCTGGAGCCTTTATTTCCTCATCTGTAAAGTGTTGGTGGAGGGTGGTGGATAACACTTCCATCAGCACCTACCTCCCCTACTAGGGCTGTTGGTAGGATGAGACTTTGGGAACGAATAATAATTCAGTGCCAGAGAGACAAGCTGTTACTCTTTTGGCTGTTCCCATCCCCAACTCATGAAGCCCAACAGTCCCACACCAATCTTCCTGCCCTTGAGCCTTCTCAACAAACAATATGCTCACCAAGGTTGATGCAACCATTTTTCTTCTGAAGAGAAGGTTGTTAGACCTGGAAGGAGCTTCCTTTGTGGTTTTGACCATCTCTGAGATCTTTAAAAATGGGAAGAACTCTTGGATCACCTTCATGGTCCTCCAGCTGGAGTCTGGGAGGGTCTTCTAGGAAGCCCCGGGGCCATTACTGTCTTGTTTATTTCATGTTTTTGGTATATCAATGTTTAACCTTTTCCAACAAGAAGTAACAGTCTACTTATTTAATAAAAACTAGGTAATACCTTATTTTGTCATGAATTGAGGGAAGGTGCAGACCTGCTGTGGTGCAAGGATTTCCTCACTGAGCGTTCCTTAGTCCATTGAAATCACAATGGGGCAGAAATGTTGAGGAAGGTTTTTGGTTTGTTTTGTTCTGTTTTGTTTTCGCAGTTGGGCAGGTCTTTTGCATTTCTTTGCATCCCCTTTGGTTAGTGCAGAGCCTGGAGCACAGGAGGCATAGAATGTGTGGACTGACTGTAGCATTCCATTCAATAAGCATATATGAACCATCTCTTATGTGCCTGGGAACTGTCTGCTAAGGCATGGGAATAGAAAAACAGGCATAAAACAGTCCCTGCTCTCAAGGAGCTTACATTCTCGAAAAGAAATAACCTGTGTACAGCTGAACAAATATACATAGGATACACAGCAAATACATTTGTAGGAGTAGAATGGCTCTAACAAGGCGGCGAGGGGGGGGTCAGTGGCACATGTGGTGAAGCAGTGTGGAAGGAAAGTATTCCAGCATTTATTATGCACCTACTGTGTTCCAGGTACTCTGTCAGGCGCTGGAGATACAAGGACAATAAAACAAAACAGACTGCCCCCAAAGGAAAGTATTCGCAGGCAAAGGCATCAGGGAAGAGGTGAAATGTCCAGCAGTGTAGGCAGAACCAGAAGGCAGAGGGGTGGTGAGGCCACGGAGGGAATAGCGGAAGTGAAGTGAGCTCCCTGCCTTACACCCCCAGAGCAGGTGAAATGGGCAAGAACAGGAGTATCTGCAGCGAGGGGGACTTCAAAGGAGAATACGGTGGCCATTCCTTCCCTGCTGCCCAGGTGATCACCCAGGGCAAGGGAGCCTAGGATCTGGTCGTGCTTGTTGGACACCTACTGCCGCTGGGTCACATCAAAGAGACGGGCTGCCATGTGCAG